AAAGGCGCCATATTGCCGGACGGCGGCAATGAGACTGGGCGTTATCATGGCCGGCGTCGGTACCAGCAGGCTGACAAAGTGCTGGGGGCAGAAGACGATGTAACCTCCAACCACGATGTTGAGGATCGTCTCTACGCCCAGAGCGACACGGATCACCGTGCCAGGGCTCGACGGGTCTACTTGCACAGGCACCGATCGCAACGTCGTCGGTCGCACATATCTGTTGGAGGGCCCCATTTGTTCGTAGTATAAGAGTTGTATTTGCTTTCTATTTCTACCCAAGGGAGCGTCAGTGGGGAAATATACTGGAAGATCAAACGTCACCCTCAACTGCAGATGGGAGGGGGACTTTACTTGGTGGCAAACACAGGGAAGTCGGCCCTTACTAGGGAAATACCTTTGGGATGTCCGAGGATGATGTCCGGATGGGCTGGGCCAAGAAAGAGCAGCGACCTCCGTTTGCTGAAAGGTTTTGCCTAACAAGGGATCTAGAGAGTGGAAGGATCCTCCGGACAGCAGAGTCAGGCGCCAAAATATAAATATACACCTGCCCGGTTTACGGGAACTCTGTGTGTTAGGAAGGCCGGATATTGGTCCCCGGGCCCGAATCGATTTGCTCAAGTGAACATCCTGGGAATCTCTGGAGTAGCTCCGGAGACGAGCATCCATGTCATCTCTTCGTTCCGGGGCCCCAGCTCGTCGTCGGCTTGCTTCGCTCGAGATATGGGTGGAGCCCGCATGTCCCCCCGGATCTTTTTCATTCCTACGTTCCGGCTGGGCGATCTCGGGGTCGGGGCCGACTTTACCGCAATGCTTAGTATCCGAGTCAAGGAGCGTGGGTGTTATCAAGCCACGGCGACCAACACATCACATCACATGTTGGGTACTCAGTCACTGATTCACATAGGCCTCTCGCACCAGCGTCGATACAGACCTGTCAGACCCACTTGTATACCCGGAAACTTGGCCTAAGGGGCCCGAATGGAAGAAATTCCCGAGGCCAGGGAAGCTCGAGATCATTAACCTCATCATGGTATATCGATGAGAAAAGTCCCTCGGCTGCACGTGGCAAGTGCTAACAATATGCATCCATAAAGCGATTTCAAAGATTCAAAGAATTCGATTGAGGGGTGATACTAATCCATCCGACAGAACCTTTTTCTACCAGCAATCAATCAATCAATCAGTAGTGCGTGGTGCCTCCAACCCCGCCAAAATTCCAGAGATCCGTAATATCAAAGTCAAACAATGTCTCGGAAAAGGTGTTGAATGGGTCCGTGGTCGTCGTCACGAAGGGATCAAGCTCCGGTAGGTGTTGACCGGGCGTCGGCTGAGCACTCATCCCCACCAGCGTGTTGGCCGTGCTCATGGTCATATCTTCGACGCCGTTGCTGCCTGGCACAGGCTGAATTTGCTGCGACATCAGGTAGTTCTGGAGAGTGGCGACTCGGTCGGCCGTCGCTTGAGCAAACTTTTCCGCTGGCTCCCCTGGGGACGATTTGGAATGCAGCAGCCCGAGGGCGCTGCAGGTGAGCCAATACGTGTGAAAGCCTTGGCCGAGCCTCTTGATGCGTTCTTCCATGACGTTGACGGCCTGCTCCATCAGATCTTCGGCAACGGTTGGATCCTGCAGCAATTCCTCCTTCGAACGGGTTGAAACGACGAGGTCGTGACAGGTTGCCAAGCAGGCCCGGAACAAATCATCTCGAAGATTGAGGTAGGTCCTCCTTCTACTGGGTGGTAGTCCGGTAAAAATCCTCATTGTTGACAGTGCGGCGTTCCGCCGGGCGGCGCGTGAGTAAAAGTGTCGTGCCGCCGCGTCTAGTTGGACGGCAAAGGGCTGATGCATGAGCAGGAGCATCTCGTAGAGGAGTAGCTCCGAGAGGGCTTCCGCCATGGCACTTGCAGCGTGATCAGGCCATTTGGGGAGGTTGTCGAGGGTCTGTCGGATCCTTTGATCAAGCTCGATGACGGTATCGCTTTCGAGACAGGTACGGACGCTGTTGACCCTGGAGATAATCTCCAGCCGGAGAGGCAAGTGTTGATGTGCCAGGCAGAGGAACGAAGTGCGAGTGAACTCAGTCATTGGCCTAGCCGGGGGCATCTTCTCCGTGGTTTCATCAAAGTCCTCATCGTGGAGGTTCAACGGCGGCAAAGTGTCCCAGTCGAGTGGACCGATGCTCGCCCCCATGCCGCGATCAAGACTATTTTGGATATCAAGTTCGAGGATTGTGAACCACAGTCTCCTGCGCATCTCTTGGTCGAAAACTGAGATGGTATTACTCAAGAAGGTGGGCTCTCGATGCAACCCAGACGACATGGCTTGCCGTAGCAGATGTCCTGAAACGGTCCATTCGCGCTTGATTTTGATGCAGTTCAGCTTCTTGGCAATGACCAGGAGAACGCGGATCTGAAAGACTTCCAGTGTCATGTGCTTGTGGCTTTGCAGCTCTAGCCAACTCTCGCAGACCTCGATCCATTTAACCGCTGCTTCACGGCAAACGGTACTCCGACCGATAAACCCCGAGGGGTTGCCAGCAACAGCGCAGTTCGTGCTGGCGCACACAAGAAGAAGTTGCACAAGGAACACCGAGGATGAGTCTCTGGACGATATCCAGAATTCTTTGTACTTGCGAAAGAAGGTCGGTGCATGTAGAATCCGGTATGTTGTCTCAAGTGTCTCGAAATATTCTTGCACCAGAGTATCTGTGCGGTTCTGTTCGGGGACCAACGACACCAGCGTGTCAAACTCTGGAAGAATCAAGCCGGCGTTGAGATCGTGGGGTTGATTTTTCCAGATAATTCTCGCCTTTTCGAGTGTCGGCAGTCGCTGCAAGATATCCTTCACGAAGCGGGAAAGTTCCTCGAATTGTAGAAGTAGATTGGCTCCATGACTTGGGCCGAAATACTGCGTCTTGAAACCTTTCCCCCGGAGTAAGGCTCGTTCGTGGTCATGCAAGGCATTCTTATCGGCGCTCACTCCCGAGGCGGTAGAATGGCCGAGACCCAGATACGCCGTCGACGAGATGGGACGCGTCCCCGTTGCTCTGACCTGAGTTTCCAGCTCGTATACCCGGTCCTGCAACTCTCGCAAAGACTTCGTTTGGGTGCGAGGTTGCGAGGCGGCGGATTGCTGGTTCTCCTCGTGGTTCCGGGCACTCTCATGCTCTTTAGAACGAGCGTGCCAAACCTCTGCATGTTCTGATATTTACAGGACGTCAGTACTCGCTCCTGATCAAATATGTAGGGCAAGAAACTAATGTGAGAGAGCGCTGGCATAGGCGACCTTTGGGGTCATTGGAGAGACCATATGTCAAAGAGCTTACCAGTCCAAGAAGTAACCGAGGCCTCTCTGCGTATCTGTGGGCTCTCATCGGATGGGGTAGGGATAGCGTTGTCCTGCTTGGTGTATGAGACGTAGTCACAACTCACACCTCCCTTCTGACATCTGACACAAGATGGATATGTCCTATCACATCTCACTTTTCTCCGCCGGCAAGCCACACATGAGAGTGCTAGGCGACGGCGTTTGGGACCCATAGTTGTGTACGATCGAGTTTTGAAAGCCGATGATTTAAGACCGAAGTGCGGATAGCGCGCGTAGGATGGGCAGGGCTCCTCGATAACTGCGCTCCTCGGTGTTTGTCCAAGTGCTCTTGCACCGATCGGATTAGGACCGAGCAGCGATATAAGAATGGTGCGAGCCTTTGAACCTAGAGCCAACCTAGACGGGAGATGAATTGGGGAAGCACACCAGTTGTCTATCTAGGGAAAAAGAAGAGGGCTTCGACAAAGTGCGTTGGCAATGGTTCAAGAATGACATACACGACACTATTGAGAAATAGGCAGAAGCCATCATCGAAACCCTCAAAAACTTCATGAGATGGAGCTTGACGGAAGAGAAGTTGTCAAATTACAGGGCTGGGGGCCGCATGAGGATACCATCAAACCATTGATTGCATTACGGTTAATCACTATGGAGTCTCACCTGTGACGCTTCTCGGTGCTCGGTCATAATCTCGGCCGAATTTCAGCTTATCTCCGATCGATATCTCCGAGCTTTGCTCCAACGTCTCCTCGTCCTCCACGCACCAACCAACTCCTTCCGCTCACTCGTGCATATCTCTCTCACTCAAATCTCGTTATCGACTTGCTCCCCACCGTGGTCTTGACGAACTCGAGCTGGCTGGATTGACTGCTTTAAGCTCCCTCTCCTGTGCCGTGATACCAGTTTTCGTTGTATCTTTGACGGGCGAGTCTTCTAGCGTGGGTCTCTTGTCGTTGCAGGCGATGAAATATGATCATGTGGATCATCAGGACAATAATAACGAAGGAGAATACAGCAATGCTGATAATGCTAGCGGTAGAAAACATCTTGTCTTTCGGAGTCGTTGCGAATTGTTTGGAGAAGCAACAACGAACGAGCCGAAGAGTCAACAGATATTTAAGTTGCTGTTCTCGCATCCTGGCTACTGCCTCTGCCTCTCTGCCTCTGCTTCGAATTACCTCGAATCCTTTGTTACTGACACTTTGCGAGGCACATTATCAGCAGTGATACAAACAAGACAAAGGCGGTAAGTGACGACGACATTGTCTTAACTCGACGCTTAGAGGAAGCATCGGTCCTTGACACCGATCGAGTGACATTGTCTTTACAAAGCATAGAGTCAATGTCGATCTTTCACAGAGCCCGAGGTGACAATTGCATTGTTCATCATTGACGCGATTCAAGCACTGGCTATTGTCTGAACCGCCATCTCTTTGCTGCCTCTTTGTGAGATGAGAAACTCATTGTTTTCTTTGCCTATCGTCACCCAGGCAGGCGGAACTCGATGGGTATAAGATGGACCAGAGAACGCGCATCAATGGGTTTCTGGCTCTCCATCCTTCTAACACAATCACCAGCGTCCCAGAAAGGGTTTCTCGTCCGACCGCGTAACTGCTCGCAATCAAAAATCACATCCACAACCAAGCAAATTCCGCGATCACCCCTTTCAACAATGGCGCCCCAACCTGAAGGGTCAAACCCATCTCTAACAGCCGAAGGCTGGACCTTCCTCGAATCTGACAATGTGTCTGAAATATCCAATTCCAGCTCACTTGATGAACTCTTCGAGCAGAATCGTCTGCATCTGACCGTCAATCCTCTTGACCCGTTCTTGCCTACGATCCGTCCCACAAACGACCTTTTCTACGATCCAATAGTTCCCGCTGCAACTCAATCCGTCTCTCCAGCTCGGGTCGACGCCAGCGACGATGATGCTGCAGCAGCTGAGACTAAGCCCGATCAAGCTGACCTTGCATTCCAGATCTTGGACACCCCCCTCCATGATGCTACATTCGACTCGGAGGACTACTTTGACGATATTCTATCTGGTTCTTTTGTGGCTGGATATGTTGCGCCTGCTGAGGAGCAAGTCTCCAGCTACGAGAATGCGGTTAATGCCAACAACTATGACTTCCTGGATCTAGATCTAGCTACCAATGACTTCGCCCCAGGAAACAGCATGTTGCAACCTGCTTCACAGCTGGCCAGTCTCGACACATTTGACCCCGACTTCTGGGCGTCCTTTCCCACAGACATAGACACGGGATCTCCTTTCCTCCCCAGTGTGCTCGACAATGTGCACTACCCTCCAGCTCCCGAGGAGGTTCTGTTGACGCCGCGCTCCCTGAGCAATTTGGCCGATTTCTATGGATACTCCGATCTGATAACCGACCCTACTTCCACCTCAGCTCCACAGCATTCTCTAGCTGACGCCTTGCCGACTGTGCCAGACCAAGAACCCGAAGATCCACTCCTGGAGGATCCTGGCCAACTTGGAATGTCTCAGCCATGGCAGCATAACCTTTCAGAGCTTGGCTTTAGTCAAACTCCTATTGATTTCATGCTAGAGGATATTCTCTCCCAAACCGACGACAACGATGACAACGCAACTCTCTCTGATTCGACGCTGGGGTCTAGATCATTCACAGAATCCGCAGTTTCGTCTTCCTCTAGTGCAACCCGAAGCTCTTCCAAGCCGTCGGGGAGATACAGACACAGCCCAGAATGGTTTGAAGCGGGTGTAAGACGTCAGCGAAAGGCTGCTTCCAAGACCCCGGCTGCAGACTATCACGAGAGACTCGCGCGCAAGCGAGAAGAGCATCGACAATACCGGGAGGGGCTTCGCGAGAAGCTTCTGAGGGGGCGTGGAATAAGACGGCTTCATACGCCACCCCCGACTTCTAGCTCCCCTCTCCATCTGGCTGTTCCTCGAAGTACACCTACACAGCGACCAAGTGTGTATCGCCCGCGCCATGTAGCACCCGCTTCGGTTCTCCGTCCCGCCCAACCCCCTGTCGCAAATCCAGGCACCAGAGTCGTATGGTACCAAAAGGAATCAGCCAGCACGGGTGCGGTTCTAGGATATGTTCGCCACGTCGAAGAATTCTACCCGCATCTTCCTGCCACTGTTGGTACTCCTCTCATCCGTGTGACTGCTCCTGCTGTGACTCCTGTTTCAGCGCGCAGCTCTGTGGTTTCGTTACCGGTGTCGCATAGAGGACAAGCACCACTGCCGACCCCGGCCATGCATGGAGTACCTGCAGTTCTTGGGGGACCTAAGCGTCCCATATTCCTAGATTGAAAGGGACTCTGACGATGCTTCTACAGGACCCCAGACTCGAGCCATGAGACGTGCGTGCCCAGGAGCGTTACTCTGAGCTTTCCCAAGTCCAGTGATGACCTCAGGTAAGTGCAAGGTTAGTTCAAACCCCCATTTCCCCCCCCCCCCCCCCCAACCGCCTCCCACAATAGCTATTTTTCTGCCCAAGCTCGACTGCAAAAAAAAAACCCCTCGATGTCCTCAAGGCATCTCCCAAAGGAAATCAAAAAAACTCTCTCTGTGACGAGCAGACAGGTCTCTATTGTTACTAGGGAGCGAAACAACAACCTCAAAAAAAAAACCGGAAATGGCGGTAATCTGATGGTTTCCCATGGCATGGCAAGGTAAGGCAACGGCAAAGAAAGGTAAGTTTGTCGCCTGCCTCCCCCTTGTTCTTACAAAGGCGGTCGGATCGACTTTATCTTCCCTTTTGTCGGCGGTGTGGTGTGGTGAGGTGTGAGGCCCCTTTTTGCTACGGAAATCATATCTGGTGTTTTTAGGGATAGGATAGGATAGGATTGGTTGGTGGGGGAAAAGGTAAGTCAAGTTCAGCCCATGAATGTTCAATGAATGAATGAATGGGACGAGGCCACATGGAGTCGACAGTTAGTTACGTATACCGCCTTTACGGGTTGGATATGTGCCCTGTCCTATGTGTATCTCATGTGCCTGGCCTGGTCTGGACTGTGCTTGTGATTTTTACTCAGGTAAGTCTAGATGGAAAATAGAAAAAGAGAGAAGAGAAAAAAAAGGGTAAGGTTTTGTTGACATGAAGTGTTTTTTTTTTCCTCTTCCATCTAATTCACTCCGTACCCTTCCACCCGCCCTCTCTCAATTAATTTCTTCTTTTCTTTACAGTGGGCGGAGGAAGACAAAAGAGAAAGAGGAAAAGGAAAAGAAGGGCCCAAGACTTTCTTGCTTCTTTGTCCCTTTTGAGCATTTCGCAGCGTGCCATAAAGGGGGATCCGATCCATGACTCCCTTTGGAAATCCCATCCCGAAATCGTCTAGAAACACACAGACACACAGTCACACAGACGGGACAAAATGATACAAAAGTCCCCTTCGAAGGGTCGTCGTAGTACATTTCCAACCATGACCGAAAACGGCGCCTGGCCCCTCAAAAACTCCTTTTTTTTTCCCCCCTTTTTTCCAATGCATTCAGAAAAAATCATTTCTTCTCGTCCCAGAAAATACCCCCGTCAATACCGTCGTCTCTTCCATCCGCATTACCTCCTCCCTATCCAACTGAACTTCTCAGAAATCTTGCTCGTCACGTCGCTCAAACTGATGCCCGAGGCACTGCCCTTGCTCCCGCCGCTCAGTCCCGTCTTTCCACTCTCGCTGATCCCACTACCCAACCCCTTCCTGTGTCGGCCATTCTCGTCCCCGCCACCAAAGATCTTCTCAAACTTGGCTTGCAGTCTTCCTTCCGCAATGGCCGAGATGATGTTGATGACGCCGAATGCAGACGAGCCAATGGCGCGGAACAGTGCCAGAGCAGCCACAGACCACAAAAGGATTTTGAGGTACACATTGTTGCTGATGTGGCTGCCCACAGGGTACGCTTCGGAGACAGCCATGGCGAGAATGGCGTTGCACACGATCCAGACTGCGACCATGTACGTACGGACGGACTTGTAGTAATCTTCCTGCAATTGAGACTCGCTGACGGGAGGTTTGGGTACTTCGACTCTGTCGCGGAGATTGCGAAGCGCGACGTCGTATCCGGAGTCGATATCTAGCTGTTCAGAGGGCATTTCCACTTCGACCGTGTTCCCACCAGATCCGACCGCTTTGGCCGCTCCAAGATCGGTGTGCATGACATTGTCGCCCTTGGTACCCCAAGTGACGTCGTGCGTGTTGCAGAATGCATATACTTGCAGAGTACAAATATAAGACGGCAGCAGAGCAAAGTATTGTGCCGAGCTGGTGAACATATGCCATGGATCCAGGTACAGAAATGACATGAGGAAGTAGAGGCCGATAGTGCTGACTGTGCTGACAATGAGGTTGGTGAAGATGTTGTTCCCCAGCTTGTACGGATTTTTCGGGTCCGTGTTCTCCAATGCGTGTGTCGTGAGCTGCTTGACCACAATGTAGAGAGACGCAAAGGTGGTGTATGCCATAATTATCGAGTATGTGATCATGGTACCGGTGAACAACTTCTTCGCGCCCTGCGGTCGATTACCCATGCTGAGGATGAATTGTAGACAGATCAACAACACAGTGGTATAGCGGAGGATGATGAAGATGTATTTTCCAATGTTGTGGCCGAAAGGATCGATCTTGGGATCCGACAGTGAACCAGCAATAAAGTAGAAGGTGAGGTAGAAGTTGGCCAGGGAGAAGAAGGTAAATAGCAGCGAGACGAACTGATAGATGAATTCGACATGGAGCAAGATCTTCCGAGTCAAGGTGTGGTCGGTGTGCCAGATCTGTTTGAAATGGACCAACGAGTATACGGCCGCGAAGAAAGCGCCATTGAGCCAGCGTCGTCGTTGAGAGATAAACTCGGGAACAGCGTCTGTCTCTGGTCAGCGCTGAATCTCAACTGTTTCTTTTTTTCGTACTCACCAGGCACATCAGTCTCTCCGTATGCACTCTTCACAAACTTCAACACCCACTGTTCGCCGCGTTTCGCAACAAGCTCCCAGCAGAGGATTCGATCCTCAGCGAGATACATATTGGCGGTGAAGACGTCGGCATCTCGACCATGTAGCGTTTCTCCCTTAAAGTACTGGCTGAGGGGACCATGTCCACTTGGGTCATTTTGAAGGGCGTAGTATCGATACGCCGATAGAGCACCAGGTAGCACGGTGATGTAGCCAAACACCGACTCGAGTGGCTTATCGAGGATGTTACTCATCTTGTATTCAAAGTTTTGGGACGCCACCAGCGGGTTCAGCAAGCCTATCCACCCCTTGCCCTTGTCAGCCTTGATCTCACCTGCTGCTCCAGCGACATTGGAATCTTGATCGAATGCTTTCCAGAGATGATAGAGTGCTTTCGAGTCCGGTTTGGTGCCCACATCGAGCAGGATGCAAACGTTGGGTGTCAGGGCGCGTCCGAAAGCATTGAAAAACCAACGGTGAGAATTGAGCTTTTTCTTGTTCTTCTCCTTCAGACAGAAGATCATTTGGCACGGAACGATGCCCTTCTCCGCTCCTTTGAACTTCAGACTCTCATCCAGCGACACCTGAGTTGTGTATTCATATACATGGGCGGTGACTTCTTTCTGGTTGACCACGTTCTTGGCTATACCATCCTGGTAGACTCCCATGGCGGCCAGAGCGTTGAGGGTGCGAGGATGGACCTTTTGTCTCCCGTCTGCGATGATGCAGACGACAATTTTCTGCCAACCATCTTTGCCCCATGTCCGGGACTTTGTCCTCGAGCAGAAATGGCTGATGTTTCTCATGATGCCGTGCATTGTCCTCGTAAACTCGATCTCGCCTTCGTTGTACATGGTAACGCAGATGAAGAGCTCTGTTTCTCGCAGTGTAGTTCCAATGTTCTGGCGTAATTTGTAACCTTTCACAACAAAGTCGTCTGGATCGCAGGTGACGGCTGTATATCGCATGTGCGTGAATTCTCGTTCATCTCTTCGAGGCAGAAAGCTGTGTAGGATTGTAGGGATCTTGCACTCGAGGATCAGCTCTCCATTGATGAGTCGCACTTCCTTCTTGGTCATCTGTGCAGACCTCAGTCCTCGTCGATCTTGTCTTCCTTCTGGAGCAGGGCCGTAGTGGTCCAATTTCTCGCTCTGTATATCGTCCTCTTCCGTGAAGGTCGAGTCAGTCATGTACGAATGGGCGGATTTCAGACTCGCCCGGGGATCGTTGTCAGGGACAAGAGGGTGACCGTTCACAAACACGTCATTCTCCAAGTCTGAATCTGGGATCGGTATCGTCGTTTCTGCTGCAGCGCCCTTGGCCGAGAAAAGTGGTGCAGGAGGTAGTGGCCTCCGCGGACTTCCGCCATACTGGGAGGACGGTGTGCCGGGGCGCGGGCTACCATTAAGGTCCGCCGGTTCATAGGAAACGGTGGACGCAGCCGGTCTGCCCCAGTCGGTAGACACCCGAGAAGGTGTGGAAGGTCTGATGGGTGAACGAGGGTTCGCCGTCGGCGGGGGTATGGAGGGGGCCCGTCCTAGGCTAGAGCCCGGTCTTGAGCTGTATGCGCTCGACGCTGTAGGCCGATATCGTTCTGGGGAGCCTCGAAAGGAGGGAGAGGTTCTATATGAGGGACATCTGTCAGCTTGAGAGCTCTTCTTGAAGGTCACAGTGGCCTTGAGGGTCGGCGCCCGGCCAATAAAGGTGGTCGATTGACGACTGCGCCGAAGACTCTCTTCGGCTTCCGCAATCAGTGAAGACATCGGTGACTGCATCCTGGCGCCTGGGACGGCGGACTCTGTGGGAGAGTCTTCCCATGCAACGCGCAGTACCTTGGGGTCAGGCACCGGCTTGCGCCTTGGGGAGGGTGGTCCATTGGGTTGGGTAGAAGAGACGGAGCTTGTCACATACGGTCTGTACTCATCTTGACCCTGCGGGAGCAGTCTTAGCGAGTTGTTGAGTACGGGCATACTCATAGCATCCTCCTCTCCTGGGCCGTTGACATATGAGGGAGGCCCATCAGGATAGCCGGGTGGGATTTGTGTAAAGGACGAACGGTCGTCCATTGTTCGCGGAGCGGCGGGGTTTTGTTTACTCGAGATGAAGTCGACGAGGGCGGTCAGATCAAAGATGAATCCATGCGCAGTGAAAAGTACAACAAGGTAAAGATGCAATCATACAGCGCACAGACGAAAGGTGTTTCGTCATGTGGAAGAGGGACAGACGAATGGCGTCGGGGTTGTTTTAGCCACGGCGTCGATAACAGAGGGACAAGCCACGGCCCAAAGCGGAAGGCTACAAACTGTTTCGAGGGGCAACCACTGAATGTCTTGGCGCCGCATTTCAGCCTCGTCAGCATCCGCACCCACCCCATCACCCCGATGCTCCGATGACCTCTGCATTAAATGCTAATCACAGAGCATTAGACACCCGCTGGTCATGTACATTGTTCCCAATGGATGTAAGCAATCCCTTGTACCCGTTCTATGACTGGTTAAGCACCGATGACACCACTCTCGAGTCTATGAACAACAGAAAGCTTACAACGTCTCTGCACCCTACAACGTGGAAAGGTAAGAATGAAACTTGTCCTTGTAAGAGAACCACGGCAATGCAAGCTCTATGTCTCAATCAACGTGGCAATATCCTCGCATGCGTCCGATATACCATGACTTCAATAACTCGATCGTCCGCATGCGGACCCTCGAACAAAGGATGGCTTTTTTATGGCCGCCCCTTTGATCCTCTTTTCCCCTTAACACAGGTTTTTCCGCACGAGCAACACCTTTTCGCAAACCCATCTCAGATAAAATCGTCGAGAAGGGAAAGAAAAATAAATTCCTCATTACAAAAATCTGTTATCGCAAAAATGTGTATCTGGGACTTGGCCGTCTTTCAGTGTGGCCACAACGGCAGCTTCACCCGGCGGGACGGTGGCTGCGCGCTGCCCACATCAGCATGCGACAAAGAGCTCGTCAACGCCATCAGATATGCCATCCCGTGGAACTGTCCTGATTGTGCACAGCGCCTCGCTCGAGGCATCCCCCCTCATCCCGAGGACCACATCCACCCTCTGGCGCGAAGTGTTCAGCAGCCGATGCGCCCTGTGGCGCCGCCGCCGCAGGCTGTCTCCCGTCGCGCAATGGTCCGCAAAAGCCCGTCGCCCGTCGGTGACGGCTACGACTTCACCGAATTCGCAGAGTACACCAACTATCCGGGCCTCTCGCAGAAGCGTATGTCATCCAACATCAGCCCGACCAAAATCACCAAGCGGCAGAGGATATCGCGAAACAGATATTCGAGCGACGCGCCCACGATGCTCGGCCGGCTGGGAAACATCGCCCAGGACCTGAATGATATCGCCATGCCGTCGGCGACGGAGCGCAAGAGCGGCGTCGGCTACTCTCCGACCAGAGTGCGCCTCCACGGGACTGTGCAAGACGTGTCGGAAATTCCGGTGAGCCTGGTCCCGGGCTTAATGAACACGTCCCCAACCCGGCGCCGCAACGACAGATCCCCGACTCTCGTCTCAGGCGCAGGCGTCACGAAGCGCCGCAAACCCAGCAATCCTCCGCGCCGCATCTCGCCCACGCAGCCCAGGGCGCCGTACGCAGACGCCAACGCCCCTTTCAGCCCAAGCACATACGCCGGCTACGCGGCGGCGTCCCAGGCCGCGGCCCGGCAGAAGCAAACCGCCGCTCGGACCTACAACGAGACTCGCGACGATGTGGAGCGCATGATCGAAACCGGCCACCACTCGCGCGACGAAATCGTGGCAACGGCCAAGTTCGCCATGCTGAACCACAAAGATCAGGAGCAAATCTTGTGGCAATATGAAAAGAGCCGACGGACGAGCGAGAACCAGAGGAATGGTACGTTAGATGGCAGGAAGATACACAACATAAGGTCTCGGGACGAGGGCAAGAGAGAGGGCCATAAAAAGAGGGGCGGCTGCGCAGTCATGTGAGGAGACTTCCGAATGTGGTCGGGCAAGCTCGTGGAAGATGGAATCTAGGTCTGGCCTTGAGGCGTAGTCTACACGCAGGCGCGTGCCCAGCTATCGGAGAGATTCACACGATCGAGTTTATGTGTACAATCCTGAAATAGATATTAGTATCCTAATCTCATACCCCCTACGCTGCAATGCGATTCGTTTTCTAAAATCTTCTTGACCTCTGAGTCGGTAAGTTTCGAGCTGTTTTGGATAAAGGCTGGAGACGGTGGGCTCCTTACTACACTCGAAGCAGTGCAAAGTAGCCCTCGAAGTCATCCTTGTGATGTCACAGTGTGATTCCCTCTGAAAATGGCCACATCCTATAGATCTCTTCTTGGGACTTCTGGCCTGCCATTCTCTCGACATACAGAGTGAAAAGAGCCTTATTTTGTTCCTGCTTCTCGGTGAAATCCATTTCAGGGGGGATCCAGCCATCTGCGTCGGTGTCGAGATATTCCTTCGCAAATTCTCTCGCACGGTGCCATTCTCTGTACTCCTCGAATTGTTTTTCATGTTTTTAAATTTCTTCTTCACGGAATATGTAGGGACATTCACCCGGCAGATCTAGATCATGCCAGGAATTGAAAATCTCGATTAGGCACTCCCGCAATGGCGCAGGCCCCTCTTCCCATGTTGCTCCACAACGAATGAAGAGCTCACGATATACTCGAGGCAAGTTCATGGCATCGTAAGCATCCTTGTTGTCAAGGAGGCATCTTATCTCATAGGCTTTGGCCGCCGTTGCCAGGTTGAAGTTGTACTCTGCCAACTTCTTTTCTTTCTCATCCAAGTCTTTATAGTCATCAGGTAACTTGGGCGTGACGATCCCAGCTGGGTAGCCTTTTGGTAGAGTCAAGAGAACCGGCCAGCGTGCCTGTAAGAACATAGGAGCTACTTGTGTGAATTGCCAGTCGATAATTGTCGAGATTTTGGAAGGGTCATTCTCTGAGACAAAAATATTGCCCATGTGTAAATCGGTGTGGCAGGCGGTAGGTTGAGCATGTCGAAGGAGGTCAGAGTGAGAGCCTAGAATCTTCATGAGCTCAATGGTTGTCTCTAGCAAAGAGATCTGTTCAGCAGCTGTGCCACGATGGCCAACCACGTGAACGCTTTTCGATTCCTGAGAGATGCGATAGATCTCGCGTTTTGCTAGGGCAGTTCCAAATTCGGCGAGGGAAGGCCCTAACGATGGATCAGCCTTTCACAGAGGACATAAAGTTAGCAGAAGCGTACGTACAAGGCCCAAGGATCAAGTTCTCAGGCACTGTAGACCAAGTTGGGTCGCAGGAGCGACCAACACAATAGGACTCAGATCGATCTATATCTGCAGGGAGGTTTACGCTTCTCTCACCCTCAGGAAAAGAGCGGCGAGAATATACGCAGCCATAAGCCGGGAACTTTATCGACATCAGTTGACTCTCCCACTTGGCTAGCTGCTTGATGATGGCAAGTTTGCATGGCTCGTCAATCTGATCCCACACTTTGAGGAGCTGAACACCGGCAGCCTTTTCCATGATGATGTACTCCGCCCCAACAGGAAACACTCCAAGTATAGACGTATGGTACTGGGATGTCCGTATGCTCTCTCACTTTGAATAGTCAAACATCACTCGGGCTTGCGGTAACTTGGAATTCATACCGTATTCCAGAATAGCGACCTCTGAGGCAGTCGTGTATTTTGCGAGGCCGGCATTGGGACACGGAACCTTCGCAATGAGCTCTGTACCATTCTCCCTTCGTATACGTAATGCTTTGCTGAATCCGCCCTCCAACTTTTCGACTTCTCGAACAGGCGATACTGAAGGGCCTGTGGAGGCTGCAATAGCACAAAGGGCTTCTAAATCAAATTTGACATAACGACCATCACGTTGTTGTTTGTCTCGAGTCAGAAATCGACCATTGGTATACTGAAAGAGCTCTTCTCGGCTAATGGGTTTGTCTAGGAGTTGTGATTAGTAGGCAACTCCCTGACATATTTGCTACAACTTACCACGGCATGTTAAAGAGATGCTCTCTGACGAAGGCAAGGGTGGGGTTTTAAATGTCAAGAGATGACGTGATCTTGACAGAAAAGACATGCTGCGAGCTTTGGTGCTGGGAAGTACGGAAGAAGCAAACGGAAACGCAAACGCGAGGTCTTGTTGCAGTAATACTTTTTACGTGTTGTCCCCAGAAAGAGACAGATGAAATTCAAAACCCGGGCAGCAGTGGTTGTACTTTCAAGCGACATGCCAAGGACCATATTACGGGCAAGGGTACTGGTTCAAGTCCCATTCCTTTCACCCTCATTTCGAACAATCATGGCACCACGAGACAGTGTAACCGCTCAGAAGACCAGAAGGCAGCCCGTGAAGCTGCCACATCAAGGTCATCTATCCGCCTCCTCCTTCGATACTCGACTCACCAGCAAAGCTGAACGCCCCCAAGACATCAAGAAGGGACAAAAGTAAAACCCTCCTCGACGGAGCGCCCGTTTGGACCTTTTGGTTAAAAAAAAACTCAACCAAAAGCCAGGGAGCAGCCTCTACCATCGAAGCCTCCGAAACGGAAACGAGAAACTGAACAGCAACTAAACCCGCGTGGCAGTCTGTTTCGTTCCAGGACTTCCTTTGGCGATCGAACGCCCCTTCTTTGTAGATTCCTGTCCAGGGGTCACATCTCGTTTCGGAGCCTTGGTGACTTTCGAAATAGCAGAGGCACACTCTATAAAGATCAGAACTTCCGATTAGACATGCAAGGGGTTACGTTGTGAGCTTTTACCTTCCATACTTCTTTTCGTATAGAGCTTCAACTGACACTAGATCTACGAAAGGTAACTGCCCGCGATCCTAAAAAATGGAATCTCCAGATTCAGGTCAACAATGAAACATATTTCTCAACTCCGAAGAGGGAGAAGGAAAAAAAAAGACAGTTGCGACAGTCCTTATGCCCATAGGTGAAGAATGGACACCAAAGGAGATCAGAGCCCATTTCATGAAGAATTTGAAGCTTTAAAAGGCCCCTATTCCCGAATCAAACAAAACTTAGCCAGAGATTTATCAGACCAGAAACCAATACAACAGCAGTCTTCTTCCGGCGACGCGGCCAAAGTGTAAAGAGCCCAGAATAAGAGAGAAAGGGACGCGAGGGAAAGGGCTGGAAAGGAGGAGACCGAACAGGATCACTAATAGGACATAGAACGATAATCTTAGTCCTCCGACCTTATATCTTCTTCAAAAGCTTGCCGTAGTCATAGATCGTACTCAAGCTTGTCCTCAACCCTTCTTCGGATTACGTTCTCAGCATCCGGATGCCAATAACGAGCTGGAGTGTTTGTAATGTTGGATGCAAACATTGGCTCGATATGATTCAAGAAGACGCCGTACAGTCCCGTTAAAGAATCCAAGGCCCGGAAATACCAAATTCGGCCCGTTGCCCAGTTCTCGCGAAAAGTATTGGCCACTGAAATGGAGCAAGGACGCAAAGATTGTTGTTCCTCCTCTTCTAAAATGGAAAAAAACTCGTCGAGCATGAGCTTGAGATCTGCCAACTTTTCATCACCCAAACGGTCAATTGCCTGACCGGTCAACCATAAAGGGGGCTTCAGCATCTCAATCGGTCTGAAACAGGCCCATTCCAGATCAATAATTGATTTGATATGCCAATCGTCATCGACGAAGATATTGCTTTGATGGAGATCCGTGAGGGTTAAATAAAACGGTCCAGAACGCGAGGAGCTATTGACGAAATCAGGTAAACAGGCGCGCATCAAAGTCAAGGCTTCCATTTGGTCGACGGCATCATCCCTTGAAATGACAGAATTGGGCTGATATCGATGCGATTGTCGTGGTATTTGAAGAGGTCCAGAACATATGACTCGACCACACTGTAAATGTAGCTGCGGTTCACAACAGGCGGGCAACTGTCGTTTTCTGCTTCGGGAATGATGATAGATAATGGTCGATTAGCCAGACTAACGACACCTTCGTTGTCTATCGTCAACGAGCCTATGTGAGATAGTGGCCTTCTGGTCAAAGACAACAAGATCCGGGATAAATCTCGGAAGAAATTCGTCTTTCGCTTCGAGTCGCCAGAAAGTGTATCCCACGTTGTCGAAAGCATGCGGCCTTCCTCCTCTTCGATGAAATCCATCAGCAAATAGCCAACAGTAAACGGAATGTCAGGTCGTTTACAGCGAATGTAGGGAGAGCAGACCGATTGTCGAAATAGCAGTTGTAGGGTGTTCTGTATGAATGAGAGGCATCGCAAATACCATGGAGCGTTTTCACGCGCTGTGAACTGAACCTCCATCATTAGCATATCACAGACAGTATTCTGGAAGACTACACATACATGAAGATTATTACCAATTCCGAACCCCCATAAGTACGGGATTGGTATCTCAGGGCAATTTTGTTGCATCCAGATATATGTTGCTGCTTCGGATCGCACCTTCTCATCCATATTTCCAGGATTCGAAGATTCTCCCAGCTTGTACGGGAGTGGGAATCGAATCATGACCCGACTCTTTGGACGTCTATTCCAGTTATATATATGCACTGGAATACAGACATTGAAAGTCCCATGCCTCCATTCCGAGAAGTCACCTAATCGACAGGACTGATTACCCTTCAGTCCAAGGTGACAGGCGACAATTTCTTTGATTTCGTCTTGATTGTGAAATAGTTGAAGGAAAAAGTCAATTCGTTTGGACGGATAGGACAACTGTAAGAGAATGTTGCTTTCGGCTTCGCAAGCCGATTCATAGGAGATGGATTTTTGAAGTAGATTCCTTTTCTGGGTGATTCGGGAGCCAAGGCGAGATGCCATCTCTTTTTTGAAATGTAGGTAAGGATCATCTGGCCAGAAATGAAACTATCAGCGCCTTTTAAGAGAAGAGAAAACGAGAACGCATACGGCACAATCATTGGGAAGGAGGGAATTCAGCCTTCCGGGAGCTAGTAAAGGGGCGCTGATGTAGCTGCGATGATTTTCATCTTGAGGAATGGAGGCCTTCCAGATATGTTTGTATCGGCCACCTTGAAATAGCGACTCTTTTGGTAAAGGTCTATCCTCCAGGGGCTGCGCTGCATCTAGAAGTGTCGGTTCGTGCGGCTAAATGGTAGGATTGGGCTTTTCTAAAGGCTCTGATGGTTCCACCGGGGCTTCAGCTGGGACGTATGGACGGGGCTGTTGCTCTTTCAAGAATTCCTTCAAGTCGTCGTCGAGGGCTTTTGCGGGATCATCTTGGTTGCTCCTCCCTCCCTAGAACGAGTTCATTTCCCTAGAGAACTGTCTGAGATTTTTCAGATCAAGTGTGGCAGGATAATGTCCATAATCCACCTCCCGAACATAGCAGGCTGTACTCCCTTGGTCGTTGACCCCAAATTGTTGTTTGAGTCTCGGGGAGCCAGCAATCATTTCTCCGCAGCTCAGCGCCAAGACGAGCTCGCGACTCGACCGGATCGGGTTAAAAGTGATGCTGCCCTGTGTGCAACCCCAGTGCTCCAGCTGGTCAACCACCGATGACATGTCGCGTCCGGGTGGTGAGATTGATGCTCGAGGCACAAACCATTTCCATCCGTGTCGGCGGCTTTTACTGGAGTTTATTATACCACACAGCCGTTTTCGTCACAGGGGCTACTAATAGAGCTGATCAACCAGGATGTGTAATTCTGTGAAAGCAGCGTCTCTGAGTCGACTATCTGGGTCTATCATTCTTTCTATCCAAAAGGGGGAATGCGCTCTGTCACATCCCTGGGTGATATGTGGCGGATTGACAAAAGTTGTTACCTAAACTGGAGATTACTACTTTGCTTTGCTTCGCGTTACCCTAGTCCCGCTGATATAATATTCTAGATACACGCAATATCATGCTCGCATGGGAAATGAACGGGTTCGCTCTATCTATATCTCGTGTTGAGACTCCCGTCACCCGTCACGCCCTTCAACACATCTCACGCTTTTGATGCCTGGGGAATCAGCGCAGCCAGATCAGTGGACAGGTCGGCCTCCAGGTCAATTTGCACATCCTTCTCGTCGACGAGACCAAGATAGTAGGATAGATCCCTGCCGTCGAACTCTCGAACTTCGAAACCGTCACCCAGGAACTCAAACATGTTCAACTTGTTACAATATTCAATATTGTAGTCCTCAAACCTCGGTCTCTCAAGCAGCTTCAGGTATGTGAGACGACTCCCCGGAAACATCGGTAGCGGGCCGTCCACACGTCCTTGTTTAAACCAACTGCTACACCCAGAAACCCACGCAGTTCGTTGCAGGTAGAGGTCTGCATGTTCCTTGAATTGAGAAATGACTTCAGGCTTGGGAGTTAGCGATTTGATGCGGTCGACCTGCATCTTCTCGATGATCTGGAGGATGTATCGTGCCAGTGACTCCAAGATTGGTAAGAACGAACCATGGCCAAGGGGCCCGTACGGTCCGCCCATCATATAGTAGTTCGGGACTGCTCTGAGCGTCAGCACAACAAGTGACTCGAGAGGGAGTAGAACCATACTGTTAGGAGGAGCTACCGAAATATACGACGTAGCTTCATCACGCCATAGCTTTGCCAGAGTCTCACCATTTGCCTCGACGGGGAAGCGTGGGATCCATGTGGTATTGAATCTTTGTGTCCAGCATATCAGTAAGCAATATAAAACACATTTGGAATGACGGCATACCCAGTTGCACAAATAATAACATCAACTTGATGTTCTTGGCCACTGTTGTCGATGAACCCTGTCGGAGTGATGGCCTTCATGAAATGGGTGAATACAGTCACATTCTCCTGGTTCAAAGCTTCCAGAAACCCATTTCCTGGCTGTAAGTCGCCAATTAACAAAACTGGGTCGAGATTTCCGAAAGTATACGGGCACGTACAGTTGGTCTTCGACATCCCACGTCAAAATTTTTCGGGATGATCGCCTCGATCAAAGCCTCATCATGTGCCAGCTTCTGCTTCATTTCGGAGATTGCGTACTGACTCCTTTTTAGTAACAAGCTGAATGGCGATAACACAAACACTCACTTCCCTAGCCGCTTTGGACTCCGGGGTGTTCTTTAAAATGAACTTGAATCTTTGATTTAACTCTGACTCGATCATTTTTGAATACTTCAAGTAGAGCTTCGGGTTGTCTTTAAAGAGCTGCTTTTGTTCCGGCGTGTCTGAACGGTCAGCATTGAGCCAGTCGTAGAAGGGGCGGGCTCGTACATTGAAAGTTTCCTCCACCCTCGGAGGCGAATTTCTGAGCGAAGCCAGCTGTAATCCAGGTAGGCGACCGGATCCAGGTATAGAGGTGTTCCACTTCCTGAGCAATCTTCGCGACAATTTGGATCCCGCTGCTGCCAGTTCCAATGACGGCGACTTTCTTACCCTTTAGGTCGAGTCCTTCGGTAAAGTGTGCACTGTGTTGGAGGACACCTCGAAATGAATGAAGGCCAGGAATATCTGGCCACTTCCAATTACTAATTAACCATCAGCATACGCTGCAGGACCCGGAGAAGGGACATACTTCAAGATGCCACCGCCGTTGACTAGGACATGGCACGTGTCGTTGAATTCATTTCCATGCTCTTCGTCTTGAACTCGAACGTGCCAAAGTCCGTCTTCCTGATGCCATTTTGCTGCAACCACTTTGTGTCGAAGTTTAATGTATTTCATAAGGTCGTGTCTCTCAACAACGCCTTTGAAGTATTTCCAGATCTCTGGTGATTCCGAGTAGTATTGAGACCACTCGGGATTCCGATCCCAGGTAAATTGATAACAAACGGAGGGAATGTCGCAAGCACACCCTGGATATCTGAATGAACGATGAGTCCAACCACTTCCATTCTCACGGAAGCCAACACTTACCTATTTTCGAGCCAGGTCCCGCCAATATCGTCATTCTTCTCGTAGATCTGTAGGTCGATGTTCTCATGTTCTTCCCCGGCAAATTTCGAAAAGCAAATCCCCGACGCACCAGCACCGATGTGGATAACTCGCAGTTTGCGATGAGCTCCGAAGTGATCCTCAATGATTCTATAACCTTTTTCATTTTCAACAAGCCAGCCGTGAGAGTCGTACTTGGAGTCTAACGATATATTCTGGGCGGGAAAGCCTTCACCCTCCTTTCCTGGAGACATCTTGAGGTGATTTCGAGGAACTGGAGACAACAAACAGTAATTGGAAGCGAGACGGACGGAGAGCTATTATTCTGCGCTACATTCTGTCTACAAGCAAATATAGCAAAGGCCAATGCTTGGAGCTCTTGAGGAAGATGTAGAAAGGCACCAATCATACAACCAGAGCTAGTTGCCACGGCAAGTACATGGCCTGCCTCGAAACAGCCGTCCTTGGCTCAGGATAAATTGCCGCGGCACGCAAGTTCTTTGGCAGAATCTCCTGACATGAGCGGATGCCGGGGGCGGAACACCACCAATGCCATCTTTCTCTAGATGACCTGGATCCAGCTGAGACTCGACTAAGACCACTCAAAGGGGGGGGGGGGTTGATGCCTACACTATGATTACCAAAGAGATCAGGTCACCACTGACTAATGGTAGTCCGTGTCATAGTGCCGGTGAGGTTCGAGTAAACTTGAACAATTGGGGAGAGCCTCTTTGTCACCGATGTAAAGGGTGGTACACTTCTCAAGGCCGAGTCGATATCGCTGTGTCAGCTTCGATCAGATTTTCCATCTGGTATCTGAGCAGACTACCATATTTTGTGTCAGTTCAATGTGTTCTGACTACGAAATTTATCCTTGATTGGCCGCCATACTACGAACCTGTAGCAAGAATGGGCGAGTTCTTGCCCAATGACGATAAGTCGTTGAAGTCTGATCTCTCACTTGACCTAGCTGCCTTCCACAAGGGAGCGACCACTACGGCTACGAGACAGCTCAATAGTCAGCTGATTGAGCTGGGACTGAGAGATACAAAGTGGTGGAAGGTATGGAAGCCCCGATCTCGGCTGGGATACAACGCCTCCCTTCTGCAATGATCCTGACTGCAAGAACTAGTGTGGAGCCCGAGAATACCGCCAGCGTCGAGCCCAGGGGGCAACACCTTTCCCTCGACCTATGCTCTTGGGAGAAGCAGAGGAGATGAGTATTGATTCGAATCATGGGCCAGCCATAAAATGCCGTCTATTTCAACCACCTGGCGCAAAACCGATTGGAGTCTTTTATCACATCCATGGTGGTGGCTATGTCCTCGGCTCTGCGGATAGGTTAGTAGTTTCATCACTGGCAACTACCCGGGATCTTGTGACTGATGCGAACGGCACAGTCAAGATCTTCTCTTGGCTGAGATCTCTCGGTCCGCTCGGTTGGTTGTGGTCTCGGTCGAATACCGCCTTGCACCAGAAAATCCTTATCCAGCTGCATTGGAAGATTGCTGCACCGTCGCCGACTGGCTTGAACAGCACGCACAAGAAAAGGTCAGGAGGATCTCTGTGTTCTTCTCTCACCAGTTGACGACGCTGACAGTTCACAGTGGAACTGTGACTTGAATTTCATCGGCGGCGAGGTGAGTCTGTGTGGAGAACATTGGCGGCCAGAGTCATAGGGGACAGACACTGACGCGTGAGACCAGTCTGCCGGTGCTACGCTTTCTGCTCTTGTTGTCCTTCATCTGCAACAACGAGGACTGCTTTCTCGTATCAGAGGGGTCGTTCTCAGCTACGGTAACTTTGATCTTTCAGCTCTACCCTCTCTACGGGGGTTAGAGCGGTCAGAGACTCCGGTTTTGAACTACGAGGACGCCGAACAATTTCTCGACGCATACCTGCCTGGTCGCACACCTGACCAGAGAAAAGCCGCCACCATCTCACCGGCGTACAACAAGCTCAGCGACTTGGTTCCGGCGTTGTTTTTGGTCGGCACTGAGGATGGCTTGGTAGATGATAGCATCTTGATGGCGTCGCGGTGGCAGTTGGCAGGAAATGAAGCTATTCTGAAATTCGTACCCGGTGCCTGCCATGGTTTCATGACATTCAATGGCCATGTTGTCGAGGTAACCCGTCGGGGCTGGGACATCCTGCTTCAGTTTCTTCACGCGAAACTTGTGGCACCATGAGACTCAATTTCTGTATTTGGGGACACATAGAGACTTCTCGTTAGACAACATCCTTCTCAAAAATGCCCCCCACCTAGACATGGAGCAACATTAGGAGTTCCAGCCGCGTTATTGAGGATTTTGAAGATCCAAACACACCTAACAGACAGAGGACGTTGTTGTTCCTATATGTTCGGCGTAAGATTTTGTTAGCAAGGCTGCATCAGAGACTTGTCACCAACGCTGATCTGGCCCAGCGGGCCTACACGCCAATTCGCAGAATAAGCCAACGTCATACGTGGCCATGGCAACACCAACAGATCGACGTCGAAAATCTTGCTGTAGTCGTAAGCTGTCTCAAAAGCACATGGTATCTGGTGGTGTCGTTACATGACCATGTTTCCTCCAGTAGCGTAGAGCTACCGAGAACAAAGCAGCAAAAGACCAGAACCTTTTGGGACCAATACAACCCTTTCTTCAGTTAGCTCATCACAGGCTCAGTGGGGTTGACCCACTTTAGAACTATCCGAGGCAAGCTCGACCCTTCAAAACTTCGATCCCCTCGAGCAAGCCGAGGAGAGGAGAGAGGCTTTGGTAAGCGCTCAAACGGCTTTGTGTTTTGGACTGCCACCGTCATTCCCGCTGCCATCGTATAAGACATTGACCAGGTTCGTTCTCACCCGACGCAGATTGAAAGACGGCAACGTAGGCTGGGAGCTTGGGACGACGCAAAACAGACCGACATGGCACCGTCTGGAGAACTGGTCGCCCTTGTGACCGGGGCGAATGGCGTCACCGGCGACTATCTGATCAAGCAGCTCGCCTCGGAGCCTCAGTGGACCAAAATTATCGCAACTTCCCGCCGACGACCATTCCGGCTCCCGAAGGACCCCAGGGTGGTATTTGGCCAGGCGGACCTCAACTCCGACGTGGCTTCGATCTCACAGGCACTCCGGGACATGGGCGCCACCAAAGTGACACATTTCTTCCACATGGCATACATCCACCATGACGCGTTCGAGAAGCAATACGAATACAATGTGAAGTTTTTCATCAATATCCTGACCGCGGTCGATGACATCAACAAAGACACACTCCAGCGTGTCGTGCTCCAAAACGGGGCCAAATATTACGGCTTTCACTTCAAAGCACCGCCCAAGGAGCCCGTCACCGAAGACCTCGGCCGACTCGGGCTCGAAGGCCCGCCCAACTTTTACTACCCCCAAGAGGACTTTATGTTTGAGCTGCAGAAACACAGGAAGTGGACCTGGTCGACGACGCGTCCATTCTTGATCAGTGGGTTCAGCTTTGGTGGGGGTTTTTTTTTTTTTTTTTCTCACATGGCTCAGAAACTTTTGTTCCAGGGAAATTTGCCATGAAATCAGGCATGTCGAAAGGCTGACTTTCCAGGGCAGGTAGCGGACAGTCATTTACGTGCACGGCCGCCCTGTACTTTACCATGCAAAAGTATCTCGGCGAGCCGGCGGTATTTTCCGTGCCATCCGAGGGCGAAGGGTGTTACGAGAAGCGACAGGACTTCTCCTCGGCGGCGAACATCGCTGCCTTCACGACTCATCTTGCCCTCCATCCAAACGCCCAAAACCAATCGTACAACATCGTCGATGCGGATCCGAAGGGACTCACGTTCAGGGAGATTTGGGAAAGTATGGGTGAGTACTTTGGGGTTCCGGTGACGACCAGAGCCGGATTCGACATTGAGGCCGATATTGAATCGAAGCTGAAGCGTGGTGTATGGGAGGATTTGGTGGCGAAGCACGGGGGGGACAAGGACGCTTGCGATAAGTTCGCGACGTGGTCCTTTTTCGGATGGATCATGAGATACGCCACCTGGGGCGCTTCGGTCAGTATGGATAAAGCCGCACGGGAGCTTGGTTGGACAACCCGCTTCGACACGAGAAAAGACTTGTGCAAAATATTCGACACAATGAAATTGGAAGGTGTGGTCCCCCAGCTCTAGCAATGCATGAAGATTAAATAGGGTATACATTATCACTACTACCGACTGCTTGAATGTTCTGGACCCGATTTTGACCGAAAGAAAACTGGTAGGTATCATGGAGAGTCCCATATCCAAGAAATGTCATCCGAATCAAACCTACTTGTACAGCCCTCTTGCTCCATCGGTGCCTCCGAATTAGGGGCCTGGACTTATGACTGATCCAGGGTGATGGGAAACCATTCCGCAAGCCAATGCGAATCCACCAATGAGGAATCCCAAATGGGGATTTCACCGAAATTGAAGTCCGCCATACAAGGTGGTTCTTCAATTGTGCTAGTAGGGGGTGGTGAGAACGAAGGTCCTTGCACTGGCGTGGGCCCGGCATCTGGTGAATGCCATCGGGACTGCCTGGGAAGGTTCTGCAAAAATTCGAAGTCTCGGTCGACGCAGAACTTGAAGAGAGAGTACGACCAGCGAGCGGCGTTCCAGTATTTGCGATGCTCTCCGAGTATCAACAGGCCAAGTTGGATTTTGTTGACAGCTATGCACGCCCGACTAGAGTCTCGTGGATTATCCTTTACTTCCTCGAGATAGGTGATGAGCGCGTTGAAGAGAGAGGTATTTCTTTGTCCATATCTCGTCAGTTATCATTACCATCTCTTGCACGGGCTCACATTGACACTTACAAAAAACTGTGGCTGTACTTCAATACGTCCGATGAGAGAAGTTCCTCATATAGCGCCATAGTCCTTGCAGCACACTTGATAATGCCATCCCGAACTTGTTGGACGGTGAGACTATTGGAAAATCCAGAGTCGTGTTCGAGTAGTACCTTGTGCATGACTCTGAAGGTCAAGGCCATAATTCTCTGACGGTTGAGTTCGACAGAGATCGGCCAGATTGAATATTCAACCAGAGAGTCTGCGGTCGTGTACGATCTTGTTGCACGCTCAGAAGCCAAGTCCATCTGTTCCAGACGCGTTTTGACGGAGATCAGGCGTGGTAGGAGAGAGTCTTCGTGTCTTCGATGCTCAACATTCATGGTGAAAATTTCTGACACTATTACTGGTCAGCATGCGGCACAATGGAGCTGGTGACTTTATGCACAAGGGGAGCGGTGTAGTCTTGTGTTCTGAGGAAACTGAACGAATAGGGTAGGATGGGCGATATTGGAAGGTTCGACGTACGGATTTTCGAGAGCGTGATCAAGTCGGTCATGAACGCGCTGTGGACCTTACTGAAGAAGTAAAAGTCGACTGGGCACTCCCCAGACTTTTCCGCGCCTTCCACAGCAGCCGTCTCGTAGAAGTCAGACTCAGAGAGAAGCTCAACATCCACGACCTCGAGGTTGATCACCGGCGGACGACCTATACCGAGCGCGACATTATAGTCGCGTACCTTTGCAGTATGATGCGTCAGCCAGTGCCACTAGATAAAAGCATCATGCAAGGGAATAAGCAAATAGTCTACTCACGAACAGAGTCCAAAAGATCCTCCGCCACAGGCATCTCTGATGCTGTGATAATCTGGATGACGGAGGAATAGCTTTATGCAAGCCCATCGTGAAAGCCAAATTGCATGCACATGTTGTCCAAAAGCGGATGTCTTTTTCTTCGCTATAGTTCGTCCACCTTGGGCTCATAAAAATGAGAGATTGAATGAGCATAAGCTGGTCTTTTTCGCAGTTGAAGGAATGGAGGAGTGCTGCTCGGGTGTGGAAGTACTCTTGTGCCGCCGACCTCTTCTTGAACCCGGCTTCTTGTAATGTGTTCTCATCCATATACTGGCAAGCTGCAAAGAAGATTGAATGCATAAGCAAGGGGGAGCTGATGGTGCCACGCCGGAAACGCAGGTAGATTCTTTGCAGGTCATTCCTGTCCACGACGGGATAGGCTGGTAAAAAGTGGCGTACGAAACATCCCATCAGCAGGTCACAGGTAATGACTGGTGGAAATGCCAGTACTCCCTTGACCTTACACAGGTACGTGATATCTTCAGCGACCAAGTGAGAGAAAGTCTTGGTTGTTGGGTCCAGTTCGCGTCGAAACCAGGTAAGGGAGGGCGCTGGTGGGCAGGTTATTGTAACTCGCGCCATGTTCGGGCTGTCTGGTTCGACGCGGTCGCCTTCTCGACTGTCGGATGCATTGAACGAACGGTGACCGGTCATGTGAGGGAGGACGCTGTGTGTCAACGTATCATCCGCATACACGATTCGCTTATCGCCGTTGGATGGCGCGACAGAGCCGGCTCGGTGCTGGTCGGACAGGTACGCCTCATTTTGCGATGGTGATCTCCTGGTGAGAGAAGCATGCGGTTCTGGTGGACCGTCAACAAAGTCCAAAGGACTCGTCCACACCTGGTCCGGGGTCCGGGGGCTGTCAATTCCAGCCTCGATCTGAGTATTGGATTGGTTACCGTCGTCGGGAGTCCGAGCTGACATCGACTTGTTGTGTCTGCTTATTGCAGGTGCGACTGAGCTTTGAGGAGTTCGAGCCTGCAGAGATTCGACAACTCCAGGGGAGGCATCGGCTCCCCGGACGCTGGCACCAATGGGACCAGCATTTTGTGAGGGTGAATTTACAGCTAGGATGCTGGAAGTGCTTTGCTGAGGTCTTGACGGGCTTCTAGCACGTTTGCGTTTCTTTGAGGGCCTAAACCATTCACGAATCGTGGAGAAGCATCAGTCATTTTGATCAGCTATTCATTCCCCTTGTGAAGGACATCCTCACCCAGAAGATGACTGTTCCAGCACACACTCTGTACCAAGCGACATGCAATAAGAGCACGCCTGCCCAGATCGCTTTAGTGTCGCGTCACAGCGGATTTTCCTGGCATGGCATATCTTGCAAGCTTTGGAGGCACGTTTTCTCAGAGTCTGGACGAGGTGAGTCGGTGGCCCCAGCTGGCCTGACCACGCCGGATCATCGACGGGTGCGCTCATTTGACGGCTCAAGCGTTGACTATGCAACGGTCGCACAGTTCAGGCTCCGAAAATGTTTGCAGGTGCAGAGTTCCCTCGGCGAGAAGACGAGTAGCCGCGATCCCGGGGCAAGAAGAACAATAAATATGGCGCCGCTTCGAAATTGAACTGCTTTGCACGGGACCGGGGAATGCATTTTCTTCTCCGCAACCCCGCCATGTTCCCGAGGCTGGCAACGGATCCGGACATTTACTTTGAAACTGGGGTTGTGGAGCCTCCACCCGAACCTATTGTTGCAACCCGTCTCGCAGCGTTGGTTTGCAAGGAGGTCAAAATGGAAGCAATGCGGGCGATAGAATATGTATGCCAGCGGCGGACTCTGCATAAAATGGTCGACCGGTCTCAATCTCGACTTCACTTTCATCTACCTCTGGCGTGATAGACAAGAACGCCCTCCACAGTGACCGCCGGCCCATAATGAACAGATTCAACCTCCTCGCAATCCTTTATGTATCCTCTGGTGCCCTTTTCTATGGATATGACTCCGGACTCAGCACCTCTATCTTCGGATACCCTGCCTTCATCTCATACTTCAATTTGAATACTACAACTCTGGGTGCTGTTGGGTCGTGCTACTATGCTGGCAACTTCTTCGGGAGCTATGTCAACTGGTACTGGCCTGACAAGTACGGTAGACTGCGTACAATTCGAGCAGCTTGTGCCATCGCCGTCGTCGGGGCCGTGTTGCAGACGGCCGCTCGCAACCTTGCCATGCTTTTGGTCGGGCGTATTGTGGGAGGGTTTGCCTGTGGAATCATCTTCAGTCTGTGCCCTGCCTACGCCAGCGAGATCTCACCCCCGAAAATCCGTGGCTCGGTCGGTGGGCTGTACAAGTGAGTTTGTGCCGGCCTGCGGTACGGGCGGCAATGCTGATGCTTCCCAGCTTGATGCTGTCATCCGCCTACGCCTTGACGGAATGGATGGGCCTGGGGCTGTCATATGTCAATGGCAACTCTGCGTGGAGGATTTTCCTTGGACTCCAGTTCATCCCACCTGCTCTTATGGCCGCGGGTTCCTTGTATATGCCAGAGTCGCCGAGATGGCTCTTGCTTAAACGTCGGGATGATGAGGCTCTGGAAGTGCTACGCAAGATGCACAGCGACCCCAAAGATCCGGAATTTTACCTACGAGAATTCCATCAGATCAAATCGCAGATCGAGCTCGAGAGGTCGCAGAACCGAGGTTTCAAGACCATCTTCACAAAGAAGTCTTACATCCACAGATTTGTCTTGATCATTGCCTTCTACACCTTCCAACAACTGACGGGAATTGTGCCTCTCCAAAACTACCAGGTCTTATTGTATGTATCCTGAACCTTCTGTTCTCGTGTGGAAGCTTACAACGATTTGCAGGTACGCTGCACTTGGCATTGGCAACAAGATGTCTCTGGTACTGGTCGGCGTATGGGGAATGGTCACCATCATCTCCACGTGCTGCGGAACGTACTACTTCGACAAGATCGGAAGGAAGAAGTCGTTCTACATCTCGATCACCATCGTAATGATCGCTTCCACTCTCCTTACAGCTTTCTGGGCGTCATACGAGAAGTCCGGCAACACGAATGCCACTCTCGGAAAACTAGGCGTCTGGTCAATGTTCCTTTTCATGTTCGGCTATGCTTGGGTGATGAATGCCTTCGGGTATGCATACATCCCAGAAATATGCCCGACAGAAATACGTGCTGCTGGGACAGCCACAGGACTGGCCACCTTCAATGCCGTGACCGTTCTGCTCGTACAAGTCGGACCTCTCGCGATCCAAGCGATCAGTTGGCGGTATTTCCTGATCTTCCTGTGCATGGATGCAATTTTTGTCCCCTTGGTCTACTTTGCGTAAGTGTCAATCTGTGCTGTTGTCGCTTTGGTCCAAAGCTAAGTTGGATCAGATATCCCGAGACCAATGGCAAAACCCTTGAAGAGATTGCTGCGTTATTTGGTGACGAGGTAAGTGACCTGTTTAGAGGCTTCGTCGTTCCTTTACTGGTTGCTAACCTAGACTCACAGGTTGCCGAGACTATGCAGCAGGCGGAGGAGCATGTCCATAAAGAGCTCCGGAATCAAAAAACAGGGTCCGAGAAAATCGCAAAATCAGGGCTCGAGGAAGTTGATGTGCACAAAGTCTAAGAGAGTCCGAAATCAGCAGTCCTTGAGTGTAGCCTGTTTGACTACGTGCACAAAATGATCCACAGGGCGTGAGGACCGAAGCATTTGAATACATCTGGACGGCACTGTGACTTGACTGAACGTTCTCATAATCCATTCTGGAATTCGCTACCTAGGGAAACTATTTGGTGTCTTGCTTCATGGCTTAGATTGCTGTCAATACCGGATTCTTGAAGCCTGCATAAGTACACCATGACTAAGTTGCCTCTAGATCAAAACACTTCGGGGCGTATTCTTCGCCGGCAAAGGTGTTATGCATTGAACTTGAAGTTGTACAGGGATATACAATTTCAAAGCTCTCAGAATAATGCCTCGGGCTTGTAACCAAGAATAACACCACCTCGCGTACCTCCATATTATCTGCCCTTCTGCTTTCCGGTGAGATTGACAAAGTTGCCGCGTAACCGAGAGCCTATCAGTTTCCTGAGACTGACTGGATTTAACCGGAACTTGTCAGTCTTAAAGTACAGTTTAATATGCTTCTTGCCCCCCCCTCCCCTCCCTCCGGGCGATATCCCTCTTTCCTGGTTTCCAACATCAGGGCTGGCGGGCAGGTCGACTCTTCACCGCCAACATGATCCGCAAAGTTCTCATTGTCGGAGCCGGCGGGAACCTTGGGCCGTCGATTGTCCAGGCTTTTCTCTCCACGCCATCCTTTGAAGTGAGTGTGCTCACAAGGGATGCGAGGTCAAAGTCATTTGCCCGCGCCGTCAAGGTGTTTGAGACAGACTATTCGGAGGAATCTCTTCTGGAAGCCATGTCTGGCCAAGACGCCGTTGTGTCCGCGGTCGGCTTCCGGGCGGTAGGCCAACAGAAGAAACTCGTCGACGTCGCCATCAAGGCGGGCGTCCAGAGGTTCATACCCAGCGAGTTTGGCGGAGACAGCGCAAATCCGAGGTCCACCGAGCTTCGGCCTCCGGTCTTTCAGATCAAGCTCGACATTCTGGACTATCTCAAGGAGCGAGAGAAGACGGGGCTGACTTGGTCGGTCTTGGTGACTGGCCCCTTCTTCGACTGGGTATGTATTATTTGTCCGACAGACTCCAAAGCGCGTGAATCGTGTCTGATGATTAAAAAAAAAAAAAATGGTCCTAGGGGTTGAGTTCTGGATTTCTCGGGTTTGACTTGAAGAAAAGGGAGGCCCTGATATGGGACGACGGCGCCTGCAGATTTTCCACGACAACCTTATCGACTGTCGGCCAGGCGGTCGTGAAGACCTTGCAGCATCCCGATGAGACCGCGAACAGATTCGTCTACGTGGCATCATTCACCCTGAGCCTCAACGACATCTTGGAGTCGCTGGAGAAATCGAGCGCCTCGCGCTGGACGGTCGTCAGGACTTCAGGCGAGGACGAGATCAAGGCTGGACAGCAAAGTCTCCGGGACGGGGACCTCGCCAGTGCCATCCCGCGGCTTGTGCGAGCTGGGTGGTACACCAGAGGTAGAGGGGGAAATTATGGGGATGAACGAGAGCTAGACAACGCTCTGCTCGCTCTTCCGCAAGAAAATCTAGATACTGTTGTTTCTGAGGTGTTGAGGCCGTCTGCGTGATGATCATCATTTCGGGAATACAGAGAGACCAAGAATGAGAATTTTTGATGCTACAGGACTTGAGATACTCGGAGCAATCTCTGCCTCATGGTCTGATTAATATGCTATCTTCAGTGGAGATCGAGAGAAATTCATCACGAAGTAGACGACGCGGAAACCATCGATTGTCTTTCGCCCTGTAGCTCTAGTTTAGCAAAACGGTCATGCTATAAGCCATATACTAGGCCCAGATGCCAGCTACCCCCTGTCCAACCATCACTCCTTGATAGCGGCTTGTGCTTCTTTCACCTCTACCTCTTCTGACGTAGGTTCCACGATCAGATCCGCGTCATTGAGATGGACTTTGACTTGACCGCCAAAAACCTCGTCAATTTCTTCAAGCGGGACATTGGCAGTCTGATGGAGAGTTAGTGGATGATCCAAAAACAACGTATCGGTAGGTCATACTTCTGGTAGATAGAGATAGATCAGTGTAATCTGTAGAAATTGGATGCAAATAAAAACGAGATAAAATTTCCCTGGCAAAATTAGCACAAGACTGTCAATCGCTCGGAACCACGACTCACATCCAATGCTGCTAAATGCAGGTGGTGCTGCTTCCGTCCAAATGATGCTGTAGATATAGTAGCCCGCAAGTGCGACGCTTTCACCTTTGGCCCGAAGATGGACGGGGAAGATCTCTGCAGCGACAGTGTAGACATGCGGATCGACGCCCGCGCCGAAGCTTCCTCGCCTTTAGCAATGATCTGAGAGGCTGCAAAGCTGCAACTTACAATAACTCGAAAGCGAAGTTGAAGACCAGACAGGCGGTTGCATATTTCCTTTCGCCAGTTTCCTGAAATTTGGCATACAGGCCAGTGAAAATGATCAACATCGCGGTTGTCCCAATATTTCCGATAACTGCATCCGGTTAGAGTTGCACGGCAGGCTTGTTTTGGTTCTGAACTGACGCAGGATCCGTCTTCGTCCGACTCTGTCAGAGAGGAAGGCGCCGAGCCAGTTCCAGAAGGCGGCAAGTGTCAACCACACGGCAGAGAGAAGAAGGGACACTGTAGTTGAAAGCCCGAGCGAGCTGTAGATAATGACAGCGTAATCTTCCCGACTAAGTCAATGTCCCTAGTCAGTGGTCTGCTAAGACTTACTGTTGATGACAAGCACGCCCGTATTGATAACTCCCGAACAAACCAGAATGCCCAGAGCCACGCGTTTGAGGTATGTCATCTGCGTGAAAAGGATCATGAAGGCCGACTTTTCCTTGAACGCAGCCTTCTCTTCGGCAACCTGCAGTTCGATCTCCCTCAGCTCTCGCTGCGCAAACTCATGGTTGCCGTGACCGTGAAGTGAGGTGAGGACTGCAAGAGCTTCAGGACTGCGGCCTTTGTCGACCAAGTGCCTAGGACTCTCTGGCATCCATAACGTTGCACCCAAGATAATCAGGGCTATGAGGATCGGAATGGCCAGGGGAAATCGGAATCCGAAGGTCGTCGTGGGGTTCGCATAGGAGGAGCCAAAGCCGACCTGTCTCTGCTGTTAAAGCCAGACGTGGTGAAAATGGGGGTCACACCGTACCCAAGCAGCTAACATGTATCCAGTATTTATACCCGCGCCATGCATTCCTGCCATGGAGCCACGAGACGATGGCGGAGCCACCTCGGAAAAGTAGACGGGGCCGATGACAATTGTCGACCCTGCTGCAAGGCCTGTGATACCTCTACCTACCAGGAACATGGCCTGATTCACGCTTCCCGTCTGGATGGCCGCTCCAACGATGTGTAGAGCACTTGCAATCTGGAATGCACGGATGCGTCCCAGGAGGCCCATTATTTCCCCGATAAGAATGGTGCCGATCGTAGCGAATGCATAGAACGTCCCGTTGGCTGCATGTTCGTCAGCTGGATGCACTTGACTCCCAGAAAATGACTTACAAGCCCCTTGTATAGTCTCCGTGTGGCTGTATCCAGGCTTCCCAGGAACCATTTGAAGCCCCATCTACCGCTGAATAAGCCTCTGGGGTCTGTGAGAAGCATTCGTCCTTACCACACGGTACCATGATGCCTGGCCGAGCGTGCTGCCGATGACCCCTGACGCATATCCCAGCAAAATTGACGCCAGTGTTGCACATGCGACGACCTAACAACTTGTCAACGAAAGTCGAAGGACCATCGAGCGTGCTACTACTAACAAATACATTGTACAATGTGACTGGTTGCTTTGGCAACGAGGCACTCATCGTGGAATACTGCCGGTGTATGCTTGTCACTTGCTAAGACTTGAAAGGTCCCCAGTTAGGATGTGCGTCTTGTCTCTGAATCGATGTGCGTCTTCTGGCATTTTTTTGGAGCCAGCTTCCTGCTGGGCACTTTGTATGGTCACTGGAAGAGGTACATGTACAAATTCGGCCTAGTTTTGTGCGGCAGAACGGCTAGGAAGATGCACCTCTGGCCACGGGCACGTTGTATCGGGCCGCGGCAAGGAATTCATTGGAAGATTCACAACCGTGGCAACTTGTTACAATCCACAGCCAGTCCATAAAGAAAACATCCACGGAAAGTCCACCCACGGCACAGCCTCGCTGGCGGGCTCGCAGCTCGTGTGTCTAGACCTGTTTCTGCGAGGAAACTCATTCTTAGAGTGCCACAGAGAGCTGATGGTAGTTTTGTCCTTTGTTGGAAACCTACGTGCCGCGGAGTGGCACAATGTCCGAGGGTTGGCCTTGAGTACGTAACCAATGTTTACAGTCATTTCGTCAAGAGAGCCCAGCATAACCTGGGGGTCTTTATGCCCTTGCACTATATCTTCATTCAATTTTGACAGGCACGCCCACCTACCTACCTTTCACCACCACCAAGTCATCTGTTAAACCACGAGTAAAAGAAAATGGCAGGCTTTGACAATATCCCCGACTTCGACTCCCTACCGGAAGTCAAGGGCATGCCCAAAGGCTGTGCCTGGGGTGTTTTCGACAAGGACGGAACGACGGACTATCTTGGGTGCTTCAATCTACTTACACCTGCCGTGAAGAAGGAGGCCTGCAAGGAAGCCCGCGATGGCGTCTCGATTTCTCTAAACTGGCCGCTCAACGCAATTGGCAAGCCCGGCTACGGGCGACGCCCGACCGAGCATACCGTTCTCGACGCCAAACTTACCTTGGGCATCCATAGTTTCGACGACGAAGTGGCTTTCAATACGCAGGCATCAAGCCAGTGGGACAGCCTCGTGCATTACGGCCACCAACACACAGGGCTGTGCTACAATGGCTCAAGACCAACAACAGAGAACCTCATCCAAGGATTTCGGCACTGCGATAAGAGTCTTCCTACATTGAACCACTGGCATGAGAAGGGTTGTTTGGTCGGGCGGGGGGTTTTATTGGATTACCGAGCCTATGCACAGGCCAAAGGAATCCAGTACAGCTGCTTTGACAATGTCCCTATTTCTGTCCAGGATCTAGAAGCCGTGGCGGCCCATCAGGGCACCAAGTTCAAGTACGGCGACATCCTTCTGGTCAGGACGGGATTCACCGAGGATCTGGACGCTGCCGACATTGATGAACAAACGAAGCTCCTCGGCACTCATAAGACGGTCGGAGTCAAAGGGAGCCTAGAAACCGCTCGTTGGCTCTGGAACCACCACTTTAGTGCTGTGGCGGGCGATGCCATTGCGTTCGAGTCGCTGCCCCCCCAGATCGAAGAAGAGGGGGGAAAGCCAGGAGGTTATGATCAGCTAGGTACGGAAGAAATACTGATTAGAGAGGATTGCCGTCACTGACTGACATGAAAGTTTTACATAAATACCTCTTGGCCTTTTTCGGCATGCCCATTGGCGAATTATGGGACCTGAAGGCGTTGGGCGAGTATTGTGCGAAAGCGAGACGATACGAGTTCCTCCTTACGTCCGCGCCGTTAAATTATCCAGGGTCGGTCGGTTCTCCTCCGAATGCGATCGCGGTGTTTTAAAAATACGGTAAGGCTCCATTCACAGGCAGGTGGACGGGGTTTTGAGGTGTCGAGGTAGATGTCCACATTCTCAGTACCGTGTAGGTAGATAAACCTGTGATTTCGTCCAAGGCTGAACACCATTGCGCTCGTATTACAAAACATTCGGAGGACGACAAGAGTAAATGAAGGCTTGTTACTAGGTATGGTACGTCATATACCATACGAGTACCTATCGATACACGATACCCGGACAATTCCTAACCACCGAGACAACTCGAACACCCTTCCTATTATGGGGGTTTTCTCGGAAAAGTGGTCATTTACCTTTACCATATTCTTCGTCTCTGACAGAAAAAACAATTGAAACAATGGATGCTATAAATAGAGGTACCAAGAAGATGAGATTTTGTGCTAAAATGCCCCTAGATTTCCCGCACCGCAGGCATGTCTACTTTGTAGGTAGAGCGGCCGGAACACACCAAAACCGTTGAAGAAGGAAAGTTGAAAAGGGTAGAAATTGCCGACAGATTCGAGACCCCGAGTTATGGGAACTACTCGGCCGGTCGGTCCTTCAATCAATACAGTGTCCGGTTGGTACTTTGACATGAATACCTACTCACCTTCCCCTTCGACGTAGAACCGTAGCCAAACTACCTTCATGGAGCCTATTATAGAATGGTGGATAAGGGAGAAAGAACATAGACTCTGGCCGCACGGAGTGTTTTTACTACTATTGTAATGGGAGAGTCTACAGGCTGGAACATGATTGGTGGAATTTGCCTTCACAATGTACAGGCTGACACTCCTGGCTACTGATTGGCTGGATCTCTGACACTAGGTCTGGGACTCCCTTTAAGTAGTATACTCCTTTTCTGCGATTTACTTTAGCTTCCTGCTCTATTTATGATATTCTTGGCGATTTAGGAACTATTAATGTTGGTGGGTCTTTCAAGTCCAGTCTGGTGTGACGGGCACGAGAGACGCTGGAGCCATAATAGAATTGATTTGAATACATTTCGCTACCTTTACCAACCAAGGAGCAGTATTCCCCCGGTTATTTCT